TTTGAAGTTGTTATCTATTGATATTCTGTGATGCTGAACAGGTACTTGGAGCAAATGAGAAATATTTGGTAATGTTTGCTCTTGGCTCTACTTATTGACCTAAATTTTTGGTAGCAATGTGGAGATTGTTGAGGCTCGAACCCTAATCAATGATGTGCTCTCACAAAATTTGGCTCAAAGTTGTGTTTCTGCTGATACGTTTTTATTAGTGAAAACTTTTTTTACAAGATGATGACCCGTGTTCAAATTGTGGCCCTTAGATTCTTGCCTTATTGTTGTGAAATATATATACGTGCACAGTGCTGGATTTTTTCACTGTCTTTCGAGATTTTTCCAACCTTCTGAATTCTTCTGAGAGACGTCTTATTCTTGTATATTAGGGTTTGATCTTTGTGTTCTTCATCTCTCTTGATGAACTTGTAAACTGAGATCAATGTATTTGTTAGCCTCTATAATCTGTATTTACGAGTGATTGCTATGAGAATAAGGGTTTTCTTCCAATCGAGATTTCAGTAGGCGACTGTGGGGTTTTTTGGGTGATTCTTTATAGATCTATAGATAAGTGTTATGTACTTTTCTCTTGTGTTGGAAGAGCATTTTGTAACTTGTTGCCATTTTTGGGCTAAATAGTGCATCCGAGCAGATATCTATTATTTGGATGCTCAAAGGGAGATGTAGGCGTTAGATGTGGTCGTCGAACTTCCGGGGCTTAGGTCGAAATAATTCTTTTTGTTCAATCTTTAAGGTGGTGTTCTCTTTGTATTTCAATTTTGTATTTTGAGTTTTGAATTCATTTTGTATTTTGTATTTTGAGTGTCTATTTTTGAAATTGTTGAAAATGCGTTTTTTGTCATTCTGAAAAACTATTTTTCAAAACATAAAAATAAAAAACGAGTTGTTCGCTGAAAATATACCGCAAGTGCACAGGTTGAGAACAAGTAGTAAAATGGACTTTTTAGGTTCGAGTCGATCCAACAGAGAGTGTTGATTTCAATTATAAGTTTATTTGTCTCAAATTAACGAAATTGACACACATATTTAAAAACGTGATTTTTAAATTGAATAAATACAATTTTGATTTAAAACGTAAAATGACAAATAAAAGGTGAAAAAATTTTGATTTTGAAAAGATGTTGGAATTTATGATTTCGCTTAACCTTTATTTTATTAATATCAATTCAATTATGCGCTGATGCAAATTACCAAAATAAGTAGTTA